GTCATTACTTTGTTTTTTCATGCTGAGTGCAGAAAGTATGGCTGAAGCCAAACAACAGAAAAAAAATATATAAAGAGCGATTATTTGTTAATTTCACAGGCAACACGGGCATGGATGTTGCGCTTCGGTTAGTTGCGTGGCTTCTCTTCACTGAGAGCATAGCGTATTTAAACAGAAGAGGGGGAAAATAAACACATTTTGCGTGTCATTCCACATTACTGCCTGTGCTGTAAATCGAGGGCTATGCATTACAATTATTTCATGTAAATATTTCCCTCCAGATCTTCGTCGCTGATAGAGCAGACGATTCCCAGCGGCTGCTGAACGAACGCGTAGCGCCCCCTCCTCACGCCTGTTTAAAGCAAGTAACTGCAGCTTTCAGCATGGGAGGATGTGAGCGCCAAGTGCGAACATAAAAGTGCCGAAATGCTTCCTGAAAGCAACAACTGGGTTAGAAAAGTTGACCATAGGTTAACAGGATGTGCGTGATGGTTGGCAAATATAATATGTACTCATATGATCTCCACTAGTTACTTCTGCACAGTACACTGGTGTTTTTCTAAGTATTTCACCACTTTCCAGGCCTGGAATTTTATAGTGAAAAATAGTGTTATGGATTTACAAAGGATGTTGCTGTAGCCCACCCCAACCTCTCCTTTCTCTTTCCCTTCTCTGAGCAATTGCTGCTCTTTGGCCTGTCTGCAACACACTGGGCTCTGCTCAGCCTTAGGAAGTTGTGAGAAATGCAATCTGTCAGCCAGAGCCTCGCAGAGTGAGAAAATGCTCATGAAAATAGAGTTTCCACATGCATCTCTTTGAGTAGGACTTGTTTTTTCCTCTCGGATATTTCTGTGAGAATGTGCTTTCTTGAATTGTACGTGACAGGCATGACAGGTACATAATGTGTACTTGTCCTGCAGCTTTACAGTCCAGACTTCCTCTTTGGCTTTAGCACACAGGCTGCATAATTTAAGACTTGAGGCTTCAGGGTGTCCTGCCTCGTGTCAGTCACCACGGCAGAACAACAAGATGACACCTGTCACCAACGTCGCTGGTGCGTTTGACAATCTGCGTGGAAACGAACCGAATTATCAAACTTACACAAAATTAATGGAAAAACCCAACCCGATTTAAAGGGTTTCCACAAAACCATGAAGTCAATTCAACTAATTTGTAGGTGTCAGATATTCATCTCAGGCAAGACGTGTCACTGTGAACTATTGTTCCTTTTTTAAAAAAAGAAAATAAGCACATTGAAGCTGATGCTTCTTTCTTTTTTTCCAAATGTCCAATAACTCACAGCATGTTGGGCTGGGCTGTAGCAACTCTGACCTCTATTACTAACAGGAGTTTGTTAAGAGAGGAATGTCACCCTTAAGTAACTCCAAAAAGATTCCAGGAAGCCGAGTCTTATTTAATTTGGGTCGCTACTTTAATTATTTCTTGCCTTCCTCTGATTGAATCACTGTAGTGTACGTTGTGGGGGAGGAGGAGGGGGGAGGTATTGTGAGCTAACAAGGTTTTGGCATGCTGTAGGTTTAAATGAAATAGCTGTGGCGGACATAAAGATGCCTGTCATACTTCTGTGAGTGAGCGCACCATTTATCGTGCCACAGTGGGAATATGTGAACCATCATAAACATCACACGATGATGATATATTTCCCAGCTCCGGCCATCTTTTCTGTCTCGCTGTCACTTATTTTTCTGTCTGCCTCCATCTCGCTCGTTTCCTCTTTTCCCTCCTTTTTAACTGCCGTCACTTCTCCTATTTCTTTAGTCGCTTTCTTCCCTTCTCTGTAAGTCCTGTATTTCCTGCATCGACCACAGCTAAACAGCCAGCTCAGAGCAGTGCTGACTGTGTGCTTTGTCTTTGCGTGTTGTACCAAACCGAAAACAGTGACGCAAAGTAATGTCTCTGACCCACGTCTCTCACCTCTCTCTCTCTGACTGTGCAGAAGATGAAGACCCTGGCGCAGAGACGACAGTCAGCTCCTTCACTCGTCATCAGCAAAGCACTCACCAGATCAAGAAGCACGTCCAGGTATCAACAAACACAAATACTGAGGTGCTGTCACCACTGTGTGCCATATTTCTCCCCTTTTTCTTCATAAACTATCGACCCTACCATGCATGCTTTATAAAGGCTTTATAAACTGAATTTAATGTATTGAAAAAATCCTTTTCCTGCTCTCTTTGCCTAGTAACCTGTTATTTTTTGCACGTACAGACTTTCTAGATTGTTTAAACATAACTTTTCTAGTTGCTCATGTTTGCAGACTTCATGCATTTTGATGGATATTTGCACTGACTCACAAACTTCCTAGAAAGTACTTTCTAGGAAGAAGTTTGATGAGGTGATATGCAAGGGTCTAGACAAGTATAGCTACGAGGCTGAGATAAAAATCACTGATTAGAAAATATATGCCTCTGATGAGCAAAAGTGGAAGCCTTTGGTTCCAGGTCTGAGGTGTTTAGTATTTCAGACACACATTAAAGTGTCTAATTTCATCATTTAGATTCAGATATCTCTCCCCTTTTCTGTCACATTCAGTGTCCTCAGACATCAGAATTAAGACTGCCAGGCCTTTCTGACTCATTCATCGAGGGCTTTTAAATCCTCACTTCCATCAGAACTGTCAAGCTTTTCATCACCCTCGTATCTCACAAATCCCTTCATCCTCCTTCAATAGTTTCGGAAATAAGCTATTACAAACCCTCCAGGAAGGGTATTTGTTTACTAGAAACTTTGTTTCTGTTATGCACTCTGTTTAATTTTCTGCCAGTGCCAGCTTTTTGAGGTTTTTAGAGGAAAAACACTTTGAGGCAGGCTGGCTTTTCAAAGCACTTTGAGGCTTTAGAAAGTTTTCATGTCGTCATGATTTCACCTACAAGCGAGTGCCTGGTGAATAAACCTGATGCCTTCCCACTGCCACCGTTACATTATAGAGAATTGCTGTTGGCAGCTTTTATGGAGATCAGGATGGTAAATCTTCACGATTTCGACAAAATCTTAAATAGGCAATTGTTGTTGTAGGGTCTGTGTGTGTCTGTGTGTGCATATGTGCTAAACAGAGTTAGAAAGACAACTTAGATGCTCTGTTTGGATGCAGAGTGCGACACCATGAGACCATTTATTGAGTGAAAGACAAACAGAGGCTGCCTGAGAGTCTGTCCAAGTCTGACCTGTGTGTGTGTGTGTGTGTGTGTGCGCACGCGTGTGTGTGTGTGAGCTGACCTGACGCTCTCAGCTGTCACCCTTAACCCCTGACCTCACATCAGGAGGCTTAGAGGCCGGTGGAGGTCAGCTGGGGTCAGAACCTAACATGTCAGTGAGTGTGTGAAGTAGTTATTAAGGTCTGGATATGTGTGTGCAGGGGTGCTACCAGCTGAGTGCTTAGATGACTGAGAGTAGGTAAAGGCTGATGTGACTTTCATGCAGCAGGTGCTTTTCTTTCTTTCTTTCTTTATTAACTGGGCACTTTTTATTATGAATGCATATTTGTTGTTGTTAAGATTTGCAAACCACATGCAGGCTGTTATAAAACCCCGGAGCCCCAATTAAAGCAGTTAGAATGGGTATATCCATGTGCCAGCAGGTCTTGGCAGTGGGTTGCACATCATTGTATCACTGCAGTGTTCTTTAAAAAGGCTCTACTGCTGTTACAAACTCTCCTTGCACAAATTTTTATTGTAAGCAAGCAGCTTTTTTGTTCTATTTGATAACTTCTTGCCCTTATAGGCTAGGATTTATTGTCAAGTCTTTAACTTTATGCTAAAGAGCTACTCTCTGAGAATTGACTTGCTGAGTGTCCTGTTGGTCTGGCATTTTCATCTTGTTCATAAAGCTGTTACTCACTCACAGTCAGTTCATTTTTTCAGTATTGAGAACAGCTGGAAAAAACAGATTTACATATTAAACAGTGCAGAGCAGCTAAAGCAGCTACAAAGTGAAACACACCTCAGGCTTTGATTTGAGTTTCTGTTTTGTTTTTTCGTCTCATCTCTGAACTCTTTCCCCCTTTTTTTCCCTCTGCTCATGACTCGTGCAGTCAGTGAACTGCGCTGAGTTTTGGCTCCTGTTCACTTTTTAAAATAACAGTGCTACAGTGAACTGAGTTCTGAGGTACAGGGGGAAAAAAACAAAAAACAAAACGAAGGATTAAAAAAAAATTGGCATGGTGAAGTTTCCATTGCTTGGAGTGTGTCTTTTTTCACAAGAGATTCTTTTTTCTTCTTTCCCTCCCCTCTGTCCCTGAGATGCGTCCTTGCCTGCGTTTCCCATCAGCCCTAAGAGGCACCGGAAGGGTCTCTGGACCTTTAGCGCAGCCATTTACATCACCTCCGTGCACAAATTCTCACACTTCATCTCGAAGTATAACGTCATCCCTTTGCCTCCCAACTACAGTGCGGGGGATTAAGGGTCTCCTTCAACCTTCAGGCAATGAAATCTATACACATGAACCCTTCCTGACCTCACACTTTCACGTGCTATCAGCCACAATGTCACCGCAACACACACGCACACATAAATGTGACAACCACACGGCTCTTTACTTAATCTTAAATCTAATCTTATTCCTGAGTAATGACTTTTAGAAATGTAAAAAAATATTAAAAACATCTCAGTTTTCAGTTTTTTTCCTGGTTGTTGACATCTGGATCTCAAAATGACAAATTCAAGGACACACACCCACTTGCACATCATGCAAAAATCATTTCCTGGTTGTAATAATGAGCTCTGTTAAGGATATCATGGCTGACAGCCCTTAGGCAATTCTAGCTCCTGATTCTGACCTCATCCCTGTGTGTGTGTGTGTGTGTGTGTGTGTGTGTGTGTGTGTGCGTGTGTGTGTGCTTCCTTGTCTATATCAGTGCACTAGTGTCAGGATGAACTAACATTATATTTTGCCTATGAACCTATCTGATGCACGCAGAGCAAAAAAAGGTCAAGGTTTAATTGTTTTATGTGCAGTAATGAGTTGTTAGTGAGTTATTGTTAATGGTTATTATAGTGTATCTGAATCAGATGTTGCCTGGCTGTTCAGTTTCCTTCAAATCTGTAGAGCTTTTTAGACTTTTTTAGCTTTTGGTTTTGGGTTTCCCATCCTTTTAGGGGTCTAATTAGCAATAGAAAGATGCAAAATAGTCCCCTTTTCAGGTTTTAGGAAGGTTAAGGAGTTGTTCTGTAGAAGGCAAAAGGCACCTATCAAAGCTCCTGACCTAGTTACAACTATAGTAGGAATGTAATTCAGAAATGTGTGAGTAATGAAGTGAGTAATCTCTTTATTGCCAGTCTTACTGCAGCTTTCTGGGGTTTTTATGCCACGATAAACAAAAGCTTCCACTGTGATTCGGGCGATGGTGCGGAGTGGAGTGTGTTTATGCAAAAATGATGTCTTCCCAAATCCGCTTGTTAACAGACGGTCTCTTTTCACTGCTTCGTGCACAGAGATGCCAATTGTTGCTTGTCTGAAGATCTTTTATCTGGGACAAAGAGGTCAGGCTGTTGGTGATTCAACCCTCCTCGTGCAGAAACATATGCAAAGGTTCAACAGGTGACATCTCTTGTAGTTGGGGGAAGGGGGTCTCCAAATTAAATAACGTTATCTGCACTTCACCAGTCTCTCCTCTGCTCTCTGTTTCACTTTGCGCAGAGCAGAGGAGACGAAAGAAGAAACTAGCTTTGACTGAAGACTGCTGAACTGTGCTGAAATTTAATGAATGGTCACAAAATGAATAAAATATTTAGCTTCTTACATTATTTTCCTTTCGATTTCTTCCCCCCTTTAATTTCTTGTGGCTTGGGCTTCCCCTTTAAGGCGGTGAAAGAGGAAACACGGACATCTCTGACTTTGCTCTTTCGTCCTATCTTTATTTTTATTCCCTGTCAGAATTTATTTCATGAGAAATAAGAGCGAGGCTGAAAGTTTGCTCTGAACATATTTCCATTTATTTGCTTCTTCTCACCATGTGTTGACTTAATACAGGAAAAGCAGATTTGCCACCAAAGACAAATTAGCAGACAAATTAATGACCCAGATGAGGCACAGAGACACATAAATGACACTCAGAGTTCTTCTCAGGGTTATTATCAAAGCTGAGCAGATGGACAGAGTTATGTAAGTGTCATTTCTGCCCTGAGGGAGTCAGTCTGTTCTGTCTAGGCTGACTGTTTGACAGCTGGGGAGACTTTAAACTGTGCATCAAGACACAGCAATATAAGCAAAGCAGCGCATCTAGCCCCACTAAGGTCCCGATACAATGGGAAATACCTGGAACTGGAAATAAGTGGTAAAAAGAAAGTGGAAACAATGAGTGGAAAGAAAGCTAAGCAACAAACAAGACAAGCATAAAAAGTTCCAGCTGTTTGTCCAGCTGTTTTTCCTCTGGGTATGTAGCACTTACACCTGATGGATCATACTTATGTCCATGACTAAGGCTTTACTTATCTTCCTCATCCCGGCCTTCATGATTTAAATACTCGGTGGACTACATGTGTGCTTTTGCTGCACGAGGCTGAGGAGATGCCACAGCCACAGGCTTTTCTTTACACGTGAAAAAGCTCCATTTCTTTCTGCAGCTGGGTTTTCATTTGGGCCGTCACAATAAGTTAACAGAGTCTGGCTCAGTGATGAGGATGCTTTTCTTTGTGATTCAAATTTGGCCTTTTTATTGAACACCAATTCTGTCTTCTTCATTCTCTGTAACGCTTGTTTTTTTATAATTCCATCCCTCGAGCTTTATAACTTCATAGTTCTCGGTTTCACGGTGTCGTTTTCTTTTCTCGATACGCTCAACTCCTCGTCAATCAGGCGTTTAACGATTAGGAGGCATTTTTTCACAAATCTGTCAGTTTTTGCTGTGTAAATGAAACTCACTTGTGACTGTCAGACTGGGTGATTTATGCTTATAAGACTTTTATGCAGAAATGTTTCCCGCTCCTGCTTAAATATTCATGCGGGGACATTAGTATGCGGCGTTGTGCAGCTCATTGTACAACTCCCGCTCCCTCCTCCCATATCGTGTTTTAGAAAGTCAACAGTTCTCCTCACGGAGCCGTGCCTGAACAAAGGTGGCCATGTATGCGCGGGCGGGGTGGACGCTCAATTTATCAACATCACACGATGCACATTGGAGCCATTAGCTGTTCATCCGTCCGATTCAGCTGTCACTCTAACATTTAGGAGGAAGGGATGTGCGGTGAATACGGAAGATGTTGCCTTTTTTGTGTGGAAGTGAGATGTGAAAGAGGCTTTACAGGAAGGTGTTATTGTCCATGTTGATCTGTGCGTGTGTGTGTGTGTGTGTGTGTGTGTGTGTGGGCTCTTCTGACAGAAGCATTTCTCAACTACATTTCGGTGTCCCTCTCTGTTTTAGGGGGTGTGCAACGTTACGTTATGGTGCCATCTTGAAAGATTTAATAAGAGCCAGCTATCAACTGTGCTTTGAAGAATTTATATTTGTGATATGAGGGCGATGCAAAGAAAGACATGCATTAGTTATATGACTGGAGGGTAAGGGTAAATAGACAAAAGAAATGAAACTGCGTCACACGGAAAGAATTTATTTTTTAAGCTGTAAGTGTGCCCGTGTAGTCGTCCTGGATCCTGGTTCTGCAGGCCAACATCTTCCACTGAATCACTGATGCTCTGCTGGCTAAATTTATTGAACCTAATTAAATTTACTGAGCCCACATATGAATTTATTTTTGGATGACACACAAAGACAAATAATATGAAAGCACTCTAGCGTGGCCGTCTGGTTTTTGTTAATTAATTACGTAACCGCTTATGCTGTAGCTGGAAGGACTTTGGCGAATCAGAGATTCATCTTCCCCGGCTTCCAAATATTGCTTCTTTCTCCGATTTTTGCAGCAGAAAAGTGTGTCCTTGCATGTGTCCTGGTAGGCATCGGGGGTGAGAAACTATCCTAAAAAGAGGGTGTGTGCATGCATTAGAGTGTATGTGTTTGTGTTTGCACACGTCTGTTTACATGAAAGAGACTAAGAAAAGCGGAGAAAGATTTAAAATGTGTACGTAAGTGGATATTTGGGTCTTTTATCAGCCACCTCCAAATAAACAGGAAAGGATGGAGCTCTCAAATGATTTCCTCTTCCTCTAAAAAATGATTTTGCTTTGTAGCCAAACAATTTCCCTGATGTTCTAAAACTATAATCTTGTCTTTTTTTGTATTAGTTAGATTAGGTGCGTTGGGAATAAGAGTCGGAATGAGGAGAAAAATGAGGAGGAATGCTTAAATTTAGAGCTATTTGGAGGGTCAGCTAAGCCTTTTCACAGCTTGGCTCACATGCTACGTGGGATTCCTGCTTTCACTTACACGATTCCTGGTTGTTTCACATTCTGTATAAGTTTGGAGGAAAAAAACCCTCCACAAGAAAACATGCAGGAATAAAGAATAAAGTATTACTCCACCAAACCAAATGTGTGTGGAAATAAAGTCGTGGTCTTGTGGCCAACATAATACAAAACGTTGAAGGTTGCTTAGATTTAGCTATACCATGGGTTTTGTTTCAAAACCGCAAAGCATTGGCTCCCAACCTTAAAGTCGTAATAGCTTCCTCAGTGTTTATGGGATGGAGCTAGTTTCCTCATACGATGCCAGGCAGAAATTTTATGCCTTAACGTCTTCCTGGTGGTAATCCAAATTAAAGGGAGGTAGTGTTTGAATTGCATCCTTCTAAGCTAATAGTCTTTCATTTGATTCTTGAGTTTGGTGATGGTGGTAGGTATCTCAGGGGCTGGGGGAGCCTGATTTGGATCCATTAGTAAGAAAGATGCACACTTTCTTAAGTGTCTTGCTCAGACGAGTTACTTGAATCTCCTCTTTCTATCCTCACAGTGGATTACAACTCACTTTTCAGGAGTTTCAAGCTCACAATGTTTCTTCACTCTTTTTTATTCTTGTCACTCGGCAGCTTCTGTGAGCAATTCAGGAGCTCTGTGGCAATTTTGCAATAGCTGTTGAGAGAAGCAAAGAGAAATTCAGTCCAACTGTGTTTCCAAACTTGTTGTTTCAGTGCATGCTTCCACATACTCCAAACCACAAATTTCTCCTTTGGGGATCAATAGTGTAAATCATTCCTTGCGTCTGAGTTGTCTCGGTTTTGTCCCCCCAGGGAAAGCTGCTTGACGCCAGTAAGCCCAGAGACTTGTCCTCTAGTCCAGGCCTTCCTGGCTGAGTGTCCAGGCCGTCTGTTCCTGGGTCACGCCCAAACACAGCTAAAGACCGGCTTGCAGATCCAGGAGAGACACCTTTTCCTCTTCACAGACACCCTGCTCGTCACCAAGGCCAAGTAAGTTTCTTTCAGTGTTTTGTGAAATGACGGGGAGATGTTTATACGTGGTTGTGAGTGTGAGAGGGGGCGGAACAGGAAATAGAGACAGAGTGACATAAACAGGGAAAAATAGGAACAAAAAGTGGCCGTGCAACATTTCATTGTTCCTAGTTGTTTGCTGGTCATAAAATTTGTGAAGGACGGAGTTTCCCCCTGTCTCTCTTTACATACTCTCCTGCTTCTTTTACTACTCTGTCCCTCATTTTTTCCCCCAGCATATAATTATTTCCCAGCCAATTAAATCCATATGAAGCCTGGCTCAGATCAAAGCCAAACTGGCTCGCCTTGGGCCTAAAGTATGGGGCTTCCCACCCACAAACTACACAACACAAGCACATTCAAATATAGAAAGCAAAGAGCACATAGACAATTTTGAGGTCCACACAAACACACACACACTCACACAGACACATAAACACACAAGCTCTGCACACTTACAGTATGTACTTACTGTACACACAAACCCCTCAGTGCAGACACAGCAGGATGGCTGCGGTCTGTCCTGGGAGTCATGTGCCAGTGGGCGGAGCTGACCCTCTCAGTGGAGAGAGTGTATGCTATAATTGGTTTTAATACATTGTGGCTGAACCCAGGGTGAGTTAGAAGAATGTGTGTTGGTGTGTATGTGTTTGAAAGATAGCGATAGCAAGAGGGAGGAGGGGAAATTTTTAAAAAGTTGAGTGGTGTGTGTGTCTGTGTGCGTGCGTGCGCCTTTATATCCATAAAGCAGAGAGTATGTGTTTGTTTGCCAAATGTATGCATTTGGATCATCTCCCTCGATAATTACAGATGCTGTGGCACATAAATACACGTCTACTGAGCATGCCTGTGTTTAACGTCTGAGAATAGCTGAATCTTTTAATATTTTGCTTCTATATTAAGTGTTTTTTTTAGATTGCCATATGCCACAGGAGGTTTATGGACATCAGTTATTTAAAGAAAACTAAGTCAGATTCCACACTTAATGCCCAAAAACTTCCTTGTGGAATGCCTTGAAACCCTGAAACCAGTTGATAGATATGAGCATTTATCACATTTATCGCAAAACACTGTAATATAGCATGCTGTTTTGCTTGTTTGCAGGTCTCCTACTCATTTCAAGGTGAAGGCTCAGGTCCGGGTTTGCGAGATGTGGACGGCTAACTGCATGGAGGAAGTGTGCGAAGGAAGCACGAACCCCGAGAGGAGCTTCGTGATGGGCTGGCCCACCTGTAACTGTGTAGCCACCTTCAGGTATGTACAAATTGTTCACATTCAAGAATAGGAATTCCTAGAAGGTGAAATGTAGCCATGTTTTTTCAAATTATCTTGATTCGATCAAACAGGAGAAGCTTGAGGTAACTCAATTTCCTCTAAAGTATTCATTGCCAGCCCGTTAGCCGCTTACTCCTGAATATTTCTGGAAGAGTACGCAATGTACTGAGGTGCAGATGTACAGTATAGTAGAGAACCCCACCGCAAAATCCATAAAAAGCTTAAGCACAAAGGCAGCTTTCAGTCATAAAGCTGTTCTCAGTAAAAATAGAGCGAGCAACCACACACAGGCACAAACATGCAGCACGTACAGATGTATTCAGCGCCGTATATTTGCACCTGCCTTAGCAGCATCTACACCTGTGTACCCATTCACAAACACACCCATTATATTTTCCATTAAGAGGAATCCAGTCATGGCTCCAGGGGGAAGTCTGGTTTTTAACGGCGGGAGTTACATAACAAAGCAAGAGCGACAGTTACTTCTCCTCTGATTGTGTTTTATAACATCACTGATTTCATTTCAGCTCTGAAGAGACTAAGGACAAGTGGCTGGCGCTCGTCAACAGGTAACATATTGATTAAAAGTTCTTTTTCTTTGGCCCTAATGCTTTGTCTAGCTTAAAGTTCTTCCTTGCAAATCCGATTCCCCTCTACGGGCCAGAAAGGATTTGATTTTAAAGAATAAAATGATTAAGCTGAAGCCTCCACAGCATGAATGTTTTGTATTAACAGACAAATTCATAAACTTATACAAAAGTGTTATTCTAAAACAATATTCTCACTATAACACTGACCTCCTTCCCATTCCCTGTTTTCCACCAAACTCAGTCGGATAAGTGAGGGAAAAGAGAAGGACGACCCAAAGACCATTCCTCTGAAAATCTTCGCAAAGGATATTGGAAACTGTGCATACGTAAGTTTCCCTTCATCCCCCGTGAGTTTTTATTGCCTCCGTCAGCACAAAAACAGCTATTTGGGTAATTAATAACATCTCTAGCACCACTATAACTTACGGATCACACAAACATCTACATATTTCCGTGATGTTTACCCAAAAATGTTTCCACCAGGCCAAGACGCTTGCGGTCAGCAACACAGACAGCACCACTGAAGTCATCCGCATGGCTCTGCTGCAGTTCGGCATATCAGTAAGTAACCAAAGGCCTGTGTTCAGGATCCAGTGATTGATGATCGCTAGATATTAAACTTTGTCGTGCGATGCTACAAAAGTCTCTCGAGGCTCTCAGCATGAACCTTTTGGGATTCACAAGCTCTATGAAACAGTGCAAAACCTGATGGCTGAAGTGGTGTCAGAGCAGTTTTTACTAAAGGGGTTTCTTTTTGCAATCTCATTAAACGCGATTCTCTTTTTCTCTTCTTAGGGTTGCGTTAAAGACCACCGGCTGTGGGTGAGCTCCATTAAGGATGACCCTCCATATCCACTTATCGGTGAGCCCTATTGACATCACTGTATAAAACAAAATAATAAAAAATAGCTTAAAGCAGTCACATTATAGCCCTTTTTAATGAGTTTATGTAAGTCTCACAGGTACCTCGAATTGGTTATGAAACAGAACTTTATTTCAGCCTTCATGAAGACCCCGCAGTTTTATCTGCGTTTTTAAATCCAACTAAGCCGTTGATGCCCACGGCTTTTTTAGGTAGCGCTCTGTGAATGAATGACTGCAGCAGCCAATTGGCTCAGTAATCCATTCATATATCAGATGCAGCCATGATTTTGCTTCTGTCTTTCTCTCTAAGTCAGGGATGTCCAACTCCAGGCCTCGAGGGCCGGTGTCCTGCAGGTTTTAGATGTGTCCTTGATCCAACACAGCTGATTTCAATGGCTAAATTACCCCCTCAAGATGTCTTGAAGTTCTCCAGAGGCCTGCTAATGAACTAATCTGCTTCAGGTGTGTTTTTAATTTGCTGCGGGTGATATCTAAAACCTGCAGGACACCGGCGCTTGAGGCCTGGAGTTGGACACCTCTGCTTTAAGTGATCCTTTTAGATCTAAATGAGGCCAAATCATTGCACAGCGTAGGCCTCCGTGCGTGTATCATGATTTTATAAAATCAGGTTTTTATCAGTGCAGAGGGGAAGCTTGGAACATGGTTTGCGCGTGCCACTTCATAGGCACGGTGTTGTCTGACAGCAGAAAAGAAAAAGCACAGAAACAAGAGGGACCCTGCTGGGATTTCATGGGTTTTAAAATTCAGTACAGAGAAGGGAAGAAGTAAGCAGAGTAAAAAAAAGCAATCTGAGGTCAGTAAGGTCCAGAGAACAAAAGAAAACATAAAAAACGCAGTAACTGACACACAGTCTTTTGTTTACTGTTTCCCATAATTTCCTATTCTCCCTCAGCCTTCTGATATCATTAGCTGCGTAATTTGTTAACACTTGCTGGCACGTTGTGCTCGTAGAACAAACAGTTTGGCCTTTGAGTTTGGAGGAGCTGCTCTAGCTAGGAAATAACAATGGCTCACTGTCCTATTTTGGCAGATCTGCTGACCAGCTGGGGTATGTGCTTATCTAGTTTTGATGTCACAACCAGCTGCAAATCTGAGCGCCTCATTCAAAGACACACACTTTCTGATCTGCGGAGAAAAGGAACAAGGAGACAGTCTCTTTCTTGTGTTTTTACGGGTCTCCAGTCACATCGGGGACACACAATAGATAAGGCTGAATTTGATTACCTTAAAATATTTCCCTTTTAAAGGCAGCCTTAAAAGAAGTAGTTCAACAGTTGGGTAATGATGTAGGATGTGGTGAATAACAAAACCTACTGACATCTAGAAACACAGTGTCTCTTCCTCAATGAGTATTTAGAAAAAAACTCTCCACTTCTCACTTCTATGCATGCATCAGTGGTTCAAAACTCACCATCTGGGAACATTTCAGAGGACGTGGTTTTCTTGTGGGTTTTTTGTGTTACCATAATCTTTTGTTTTGTAGTCCACACAGAATTCCTGACACGCAAACACAGAATTTATGACGCTGTGTTGCAAAATGCAATGCTGTATATGCCCCCTTTTTTTAAAGCATCATGTGAGGTGCACAGACTGCACACACCAGGCCCTCCAGCGCTAAACTCTAGACTTTGACCTTTCATTCAGGCCACGAGTTTCCCTTCAGCATCAAGATGAGCCACATTCGAGACGGTGGGAGCAATTGTGGAGGACTTGGAGGAGGAGTAGGGAAGGATGTGCTGAGTCCCACAGACTGCCCAGGGGTTCTTCTGTTAGACCAGTGTCTCCCTCCAGACACGCAGTGCCAATTTATACTGAAACCCAACAAGGCTGTCCTTGGGCAGACTCAACTTTTAGGTAAGGGATTTCATAGTCAGTATGTGTCTGGTATTTTTGGTTGTGTTTAGTAGTAGTAGGTATTAAAATTACACCCACCATTAAGTATTTAAAGTTAATCGTTTGGGGTTTAAAACGGTAGCATTCTGATGATGGCCCTTCATGCACCACGGAAGATTCATGAAGTGAGAGAAGTAAACATTGTTGTTTTTGTCATTACCGTGGCAGCTTAGGTTTACTGAGTACATGGTTGGTCACTGTGAGGAATCCATCCATAAATTTAACTCTGTGAAACCACAAGAGGAAATATGAGGATACAGAAGTATTAATACAGAACTGAAAGTACTTCCCAGAGCGAGTTCCACTTATATAAAACGTTTCAGTATGTTTGTGCTCATCTTTGAGGTTACCGTCGTGTTTGTTAGTCCTCGGTTTGAATCAGCAGGTGGACAAGAAGGGGAAGAAGGCATCATCGACGGTGGGAAGAGCATTTTAATGGAGCGGCGGGTTACAGCAGGGGTTGGAAAAGACGCGGTGTCAAAATAAGAAAAACATCAGACAGACAAAGAGGAAGAAACCCCAGAAGGACCGGATAAATGTGGGAATAGGAAGATGGAAAGTAGAAAGAGATGACACAGCTATTGAGTAAGTGTGGAAGGTCAGTAGAGGTGAAGGAAAAAGAAACAGACAACTATGACAGAGAGGATTTACCAGAGGATTTGCAGACCAAAAGACTGAAACTTGGATCTTAAAGCGGAGAGATACGGATAAATTAGGAGGAAGAAAAACAACATGACGGTGGACAGGAGTGAGGATGAACTGCGGGTACAGAGACCAGGATGGAAAAAGGACATGATGAGATTTAGTGGCGGGAAGAAGCCGAGGAGAAAAAAAATGTGTGTTTTCCAGTCAAGTAGGCTCCAGTTTGCCAACCGCAAGCTTTGCCTCAGATTCCTTTGCTTCAGGCACAACAGGGTCTTATGTAATCTCTCCATAACAGCCCCGCCACCATACATGCCTAATTGCTCACGCCCAACCAGAAAGCTAACGAATATGTGTTTACTGGCTTGTAGCCCTGACAAAAGCCTCATTTCAGCCATTTATTCTCAAACAATCACACAGGAAATTGTACATGTTTAACAACTAGCGGGTGTATGACAAATAAAACTCCTCCAGTTGTTCCCCAACATGGTTTATGTCCAGTTTGTGCCAGTCTACTGGGGAGATACTGTAACTGGACAAAAAGCCTTTGAGGTGGCTCATGGCAGCAACAGAGAGTGAGGCTGAACGTGGATAAAGAACCACTGCACACACCAACACAGATCTATGCTGTCTCAGTCTGCTAGCACTTAAAAAATGAGCTAAGATTTTGTACTAGACCTATATAAAAACAGGTATTGTTGTGCATTCAACTGCAAGAAGAGATTTTCTATGTTCCCATTACAATATGAACCATATTACTGGCATGTCCACCCCTGGAAGTGGCTTAAAGTCTGCTTGTCAAAGAATTCATTCCCTACAGTTCAGTAGAGCCCAGTGTTGCCAACTCCTCAGTAAGGAAAATCGCTATTGGTTGTCCTAAAAGTCGCTAAATGACGTCATCGCCTAATTTGCATAATTTGTCATGCTTACGTAATTGTAACCTAACTTGTAGGAGAGAGAAATAACGTCCTGGAAGAGACATAAAGTGAGTAAAAAACACCCTAAATGCATTCTGAATATATTTAGAACTACAAATTAAATTATTTTATTGTTTTTTTAATTATTGTTTTTTAAATCATTCCAGCCCTCCTCCTTTATCCGGGCTTGTTACCCGCAAAAGTGACCCAAAACAGGCCCTCTGCCGGAGTTACACACACACATAGACACACAAAAAAGTGTGTGTGTGTGTTTTAAGTAGTTTTAAAGCTTGTGACCCACAAAAAGTAAGCGTAAAAGAAGAACTGACGTCATTACAGTCAGGTCCGGAGCAGCGGCTTCGCTCACTGGAGATTCATTTGCAGGACGCGTAGGGGTGAACGTCTCCTGCTCTGACAGCAGCCTGGGGGGGGAGTGTTGCGTGAGGACTATCCGCCGCCTGTGAGCGCTTTGGCACGGGCGAGGTGCCCACGGTAGCACCCGCTGCTTGTTGAGAGTAAGAGCGATACGTGCTTTCACGTCAAAAAGTGGTCATACGTCTTCCTAATAACACCAGCAAAAGTCGCCATATTTGTCGTTAGTCGCTTTTTTGGGGGGGAAAAAAGTCGCTAAGGGGGTCTGAAAACTAGCTAAGTATAGCGACAAGGTTGCTAAGTTGGCAACGCTGACAGAGCCAGGTTGGCCCATCCCCTGGAGCTAGCTACACCGGCAGTGTTGATTTGGTTAATTGGAAAAACTAAGAATCCAATAGAATTATTGCATTTATGCAAAGATGAAAGATTATTCCATTTGCCTAAAAATTAAATAAGTAAACTACTAACATGTCAACACCTGTAATCTGGGGTTTCAATTACTGGACACTGACGTCACTGTGTAGTCATGCCTGTGGTAGTTTCATTGTCAATGAAGAGAAATACAACTTCTAGCATCTGTTTTATAAGACAGTAGACGATTAGTGTAAGATGACAGAGACTGCCCACCCAGACATGTAGTCTGTGTCTGTTTCCTCATTCCACTGTCTCTATGCCTCGAGAGCTGTAATGATGTAACACCTGATTTACACCAAGGTCATGTTTTTTCAGTGATGGCGAAGGCCTGCCGAGAAGTGCCAGAACAGGCCAGTAAATCTGTTACTGTTGAACTTTGTTCCAGAGTGTATTTGGGCATCACGCCACGGCAGATTGTTAAATAATGAATTCTATGTGAGGTATGCCGTGTATTCTGAGGGCCCTTTCGGGGCCGATGGGTCCCCCGCCCACCGAAAGAATCTTTTGTTTGTTAGGTTGAGTCCCACCCTTGGATACAAATCACCGACGCTTAATAACATAAATGTTATCATTTCAAGATTGTTGGCAATTCAAAGCTGCTACAATTACATTTCACTACAATGGCCCTTTAAGAGATTTAATGCACTGTTTGCACATTTTGCCCGTCTAAAAACGTCGGCGGTGGCTCAGAAAGGCAGTGCAGCCACAATTAGCGACGAATGAGTCATTATCATAACATTTGTGATATGAATCAAGATTTTTGAAATGCATTTTATTTAATCAGCAGTCCAAAACACAAAGAAATTAAGTCATTATTAAATATACATTTCTTCTGTTTAGCAGCTAATTCTAATTCTAATGCGCTCCACAAGAGTTAGTCATGCTAAAACTAGCTTTTTAAACTGCTTGTTTATTTTAGATGTCTAATTACACGCTAAAGTAAATGTACATTCTTATTTATAGGCACTTCAGTGCACACGTGCTATGCAAAAACATGCTGAGCTGGTGCTTGAACTACACAGGCAGACATTGTGCCTTTGCACTGCTGTGCAAAAACTTAGGAAAGGGAACACGCAGTCACATGCACATGTTCTTTTTAGCCTTTATTGAGACAGGAAAGCAGAGATGTGACCTATATCAGCTCGCTATGAGGTTTTTGTTAAACGCACCCGCATGAGTAAACAGAGTAAACCATCGTCTGTCACATCTGCTTTCATTGGTTTTCATTTCTCAACCATGAGCAGCGCGTTAGCATGATGCATGATCAAAAGCACCTGCATCTGACGCTGATGAGCAATTCGTAAGCAGTTCTGTCCGAAATTCAAGCCCAGAAAAGTAAACATTACGAAACAGTTTCTGAGTCTGCACTTTTGAAGCTATGTGAATCAAACAGTTTGGTTTCCTGAACGTACCTTGGGGTGCATTCGCCATCCATTACTCAACAACAACAGTTTGATTATATCTCAAACTAAAGTTCTCCTTCCTCTATTTTTATTTTCCTACCCACAGAGCCTGGTCAGCAGAAGCCTTTTAAGAGAAAGAGATCTCTGATCAATTGGCCTTTCTGGAGAGGTTCGAGCACACAGCTGGACGGCGTGCCCCTGTCCCCAACCTTGCTCTCCGCCGCTCACGGTCGGCTGTTCGGACAGCCCTTGAGCTCCATCTGCTCTCCAGAAAACGGCCTGCCTAAACCTGTCATGGTAAGCTGAGTGGAGTTCACATAACAGGGGTCAGGACCCTGACTTGAGGGAACACAGGTTGACTGTTTAGTTAGGGAGCGAGAGACTTGAGGGTGTGAGAAAGTAGATTATTTTTAGGAGCATTTTATTTGACTTCTACTGCTGCAATCTTACTATTCTATGACTTTAATACATCCACCAACCACTTAAAATAATTGGCGGACCCATTTTCCATTTTAGATTAAATCAGATTTTTTTTCCTGGAAACAGAATATATTTTAATGTACACATTCTTCTTATTGTGAGTGAGTGACCCTCTCACTGAGGTGTCCTCTAAGAGAGACGTCTTTCTTTCATTCTTTGTAGAAACACTGATTCAGACACGTTCCTCCTGTTGGTCCACAGAAGAATCTGTTAAAGGGAGGTGCCGAATTCAAATCGAGATAAAAATTCTGGCAGGAATTCTTTGCAATTAAGACCTCAGTGGAATGAAATGCCTTCTGCCATTAGGGCCTGTTTCCTAAGCTCCCGCTTGTGTAATCTCTGACATTAAGTTCTCCTGTTTCATCAAATGCCATTGTTATTAAACTGAACAAGTTGGTAACCTTCTGTTTCAATGTTCCCCCAAAGGACATGCTGGCATTTCTGTACCTGGAGGGGCCATACACCAGAGGCATCTTCAGGCGTTCAGCTGGAGCAAAAGCCTGCCGGGAGCTCCGAGACAGGCTGGACAGTGGGAGCGAGGACGCGGAGATCACACACCAGTCTGTGTTCGTCATCGCTGCTGTCCTCAAGGTAACCACACACACACAGCTCTTCCCCCGTCTCTCTTCCTTGTTTGAAACTGAAAACAGGCACGACTGATGTTGGTCCAAAGTCACCTTAGTCCAGACAGGATAATCTGTCTCTGCATAGCCAGGCAGGCGGCCAGTCACACACACAAGGTGCAGCATTGTTCAGGATCCAGGCCAAACAGCTGTCATACAGTCGGGCATCTAGGGAGTAGCTCGGGCCTTCTTCTTCTTCATTTATTTATTTTTTTTTAGAGATGGTCCAACTCCCTTTTTAAATTTTGTTTCACTTGTTTTCCACATAGAGTGCAAGGATTGTCAACCTCCTGTGATATAAAGGGGTGGCTGTAGCCCTTTAAATTGCAGGACGGAGAGGAAGTCATTTACTAGTCTACCGGTTCAATCCCTGGCTGCTCCAGTCTGCATGCTAAAGTACCCTTGAGCAAGATATATCACTGTCAGCAATCATCACAACTCCTACCTGTTGTATCAGTAGCCTAACTTTAATTTCACAAGTAAAAATGCACTAACATAATTGGATTTGTTCAGTGATTATCATTATACGACCACCAAGCTAGGATCGAAAGAACCACAACCACAGATGAAGCCATAAAAAAGTGAGAGCAGCAAAAATCCCTTTGACAGTTGTTTCCAGTCTATAATGCCTGTCTGTCAGTATAAGGCATTCTTCAGTTTCACTTATAAACGTTTTGCATACAGGACTTCCTGCGAAATATCCCAGGCAGCATGCTGTGCGTGGACCTGTATGACCAGTGGATGGAAGCGATGGAAGGAGGAGAGGAGAGGATACCAGCTGTCCAGAGGTAAGAGATCTCTCTTGAAATCCTAAAATATGCGATATCTAAGGCCGTGATCGTCCTGCTAATCTTATAGCTGTCAGTGTCTGACAAGAAGATGCAAATCCTACGCACATTTTACATAAGTCAGCAACACAGGACAGGAACGATTGAATAAATGGCTGTTCTGGTGGCCTGTGGTAGAGCAACACCTTAGACGCTGTTGGTTTTTTCCTTGAATTACCCACAGTTTATGTTTAGAATGAGAACTAAAAACAGAGAGCAGGGATGCGTGTATTTCCAGTAGCAACAAACAAAATTCCTTCTGCTTAGGAAAAAAAGCAAGAAACAAGCAGCCGTACTGAAAGGAAGAAGCAGGGACCGAGGATGTTTTTCGTAATGTGTTTGATCTCATCTCCTCCCATCGTTTCCTGCCCCACTCCCATTAGGCTCCTACACCTCCTTCCCAGTGAGAATCTGCTTCTGCTGCGACACGTGATCGCGGTACTCCACTGCATACAGGGCAGTGCCGACGACAACCAGATGAACGCCTTCAACCTGTCTGTCTGCATTGCTCCCAGCATGCTCTGGTCTCCGGCGCCAAGCACCCCTGAGATGGAAGGGGAGGCCACTAAAAAGGTGAGACGGGACAGGCCTATGGACACTTTAGAGCAGGTGTAGGCAACTCCAGGCCTCAAGTGCCAGTGTCCTGCAGGTTTTAGATCTCACCCTGGGTCAACACACCTGAATCAAATGATTAGTTCATTAGCAGGCCTCTGGAGAACTTCAAGACATGTTGAGGAGGTAAACACACCGGCCCTCCAGGCCTGGAGTTGCCTACCCCTGCTTTAGAGACTTATCCAAATAAAAAATCTTGGCTGGTCACATTTAGTACAATAATGTGACATGTTGGGGGAAAACGCTTATCCAGCCTTCTTGCTGAGAGTTGAGGGAGATGTTTGTTGGATTAATATGAGTCTCAGTGTAACAGCGGAGCAGTTTGCCTGCTCGGGGCCAAGAAATACTTCTGCACAGAACCCCTGGAAAAAGCACAAATTTCTACACTTTGGTTTTTGTACATGCAAAATAAACGAGACACAGCACAAAACTTAAAGACTTTCAGAGGTGCTAATAGGAGAATTAAGTTACACAGAGCAAGGAGACCTACTTCCTTTGTTTCCCATCTACATACTACCCTGAGATCTGCTGCCTGCAGCTAAATTTTCATAATGTATAGAGATTAGAGTAGTATCATTGTTATCATCCCGCTCGCAAGAAAATGCGTTCCTCAAAAAGCCAAAGTGCTCTGATCTGCTTCCACAGGCAGTTTGCAGAGTGCGAGGAATTTAACATTTGGAGGGAAAAAACAGAAGCAAACTGCTCGTGACCAAGCAGAGACCTGAATTTGACTGACAGTTAAGTTACAGAGGCTTCACTGACACAGGTGTACACGTACACTAAGTGCTCACATGCATACTTCACGTCAGGCCGAGAGCCATTTTTCTGCAGACTGAAGGCTTTCCTTCAGGACGTGACTGCCCACCTCAGATCAGGAGCTGACCCACTGCCACACGGCAGTCACGCACACGCAAACCCCCGTCCCACAGACGCGCACTGTCAGTCTCATTCACATGTGATCTTTGACAGTTACTCATAAGCCTCTTACATTCAGCTAAGCTTCAAATCCCCGAGTTTAGAACAAGACTCGG